TACTGGTCACCGCTGGGTTTGCCTATCTTCGATTATACTTTAACACCTGTATATTTGCAACGTTTATTGTGTATGCTCTAAATACGAGCATATACAGGTATTAAAAAGCTTTCCATTTTAACATTCATTACAATGATCCTGATTTCGAATTTATTGGCAAATATCTATTTGTCGAAACATTCTGTTGGCTTTATGCGGAATTTAAGACAAAATATGCTAAATATTTATGTTATGTTTTACATTGACTTTTCCTTTTTTTTCCCCTTTGGAAATATTGACTATTTGGCTGTCCTGATTTTGTTCAGTGAAAATGTTAATTCATTTTAACATAAAATGCACACATTTCAAAGAATAATAGATTATATGTTAATAAGTTCGGCGCTCATATTTCAATATAAAATAATCTTTAGTGGAAATTAACATCATATGATATTTCTTGCTACTTGAATCATATATTAGATCTCTTCCTTTTATAAATAAAAGGAAATTGCGTCTCGCTATGCGGAAAGGGGTAGGGTAAATAGGTATACACCAAATTAAGTTTTAAACTGGGTTCCTATCAAGAAAAACTAGGCTTTTCTGATTTTCGTTTTTAATTTTCAACGCTTACTTTTAAAACCATTAAAATTTTAGAAGCTTTATACTATTATTAAATAGAAATCATCCTTTTATCTTGTATGTCTTTTCAATTACTATTATTTTGCAACGGGGGGATAAAGAATTATAAAATAAACTGCAACCAGCTTACCCAAAAAGAAAGATATCAACCTAGATAAAAAATGCATTCACGCTCTCTTAAACTCAACAAACAACATTATATATATACTTTCTTTTTCTTTTTCTTAAGATAGGTTCCTCAGAGCTTCTAAGTATCGTGGAAATATTTTTGTCACGTCGCCATGATGAAATTACTTACCGATTTTTCTTCCCATGATTTTATTGCTTACGAGTTTACTATGTGAATACGAATTATTCAGGATTTTGGTTTTATCAACTATAATGACTCATTTATGAGGAAATAATTCATGAGTTCTTTTGATTCTGGATTTAACACATTTTTTCGATAGATCTGGCTCTGTAACAAGTTTCTTTGTGTTCATATCCCATTCAGTACCCAATAAAACCTTGCGAAGCTACTATAATTTTAAATTATTCTTGCATTAATAAAGTATTTCCGAAACTAAATTTTACACAAATTTAGTACATGTCAAAGTTATCGCAATATTGTTTACATTATGAGGGAAGACTTCAAAAATAAATAAATGAAAGGAATTCAAACTGGCTCCTTTTTTTTTTATGCGATATGCGAACAAATATTAAAGTTCCTATGCAGCCAGCCATTTCAGCGCCGGAGATGAAAATCAGGATATATTAGTTGCGTCCCTCAATTTATTTATTTATTATTAGTCCAAAAGACGTTAGCCCAGATGGGCTATTAATTTCGTTTTGGCATTTTGCATTGGTTCACTATAAATGTCGGTTCACTTTTCAAATTGTTGCCACCAAATATTAGAGCCCTGTGTTATAAAGAAATTAAATAATGAAGAATCCATAAATGCGATTCTCGCATTATGTTAAAACAACGGTACCTACAGCCATCAAATTTTGAATAACGTATGCCTAGACCCGAATATGGAAGCCCGAACTTGGAATTTGAAATTTGTTTTATTATCGATTTCCTATTTTGTAACACTTTAACAAATTTTTGATTAAGAAACTCAACGATTTCAAACCGAAAAATGGCAACACTGTACGGAAAAAAAAAAAAAAAAAAAAAATATCTCCAGCGCGCGAGACTGTGTACCGGAAATTCTAAAGATATGCCCATTTTGAAATTATTTTGCGATATTACTGTTGATTTGAATTTTATGGCTTATGTGAGAAGACCATGATATTTAATAAATAAATGTAACGCACAAAACGTTAAAAAAAGGTCCCTTTGGACATAATGTAAAATCTGAAGGCTTTCAGAATCCCCCCCCCTCTCCTGGTGAGACTAAAATGAATTTTTTATTCTTATCTCATTCCAATTTATTCGTTACAGAAACATAAATCGGAATGATGATATCTTAAAATTCGACAGCTACCGACCGACCGTTAGCATGAGAGAGAGAGAAAAAAAAAATCTGATTTAAAAATTATATCGGTAATAATTAGTATTTAGAACAACAATAAACTTTCAGTTAACCTTATATTCTTAGGCTAAATAAATAAAACCCGATATTTTTCATCGGAGATGGTGGTCAGATTTTGTAATTTATAATGGCAAAGCGCTCGAACCAGAGTGCATAGGCCAAGTTTTATTATGGCACATCCTTACAGGCATTTGCTAAGCCTACAAAAATCAAACAAACATTGTAAAATTGGTTCTCCTGAAATTTACACCCGGCGAAAGTATATTAAACGTCAGCAATTAACTGATATTTTATAGATTAGCCATTTTTTAGAGATTAGTCTCAATTTCAGTTTAGCAGTATTGGAATACATGAGGGGATCATTTTAACTCTAACGGCGACGGAATGATTAATTCATCCCATTAAGAAGGTCAGTTTCCTTCTTTGTTGCTTTATATTTACCGCCTCCAGCTCTGCTTTAAAAGAAGGGGAGTGGTAAACGAACTTTCCTAGAAAATTGATTTCCCCAACAGTTCTGTACCTTGTGTCACTGCAGGGAATTTCCTCCCTTGTAACGCCCCCAGAATAACCACCCAGTTCCGGGGTTCAAGTAGAATCTTAGGAACGCAGTAACAAGTTGTTTTCGGCTTCTCGCACTGCCGAACTATAGTTTTGATGACTCCGCAGATAATTGCCGTGTCCTTAGGAGGGAAGAAGCTCATAGAATCCTCAGAAATCTAAACTCGTTTAAGCAAACAAAAATAGTTTATTATTAGCTTGTCTGAGAAATGATAAGGTATTACGCTCACTTTTAGATTCCACAAATAACCCTAGAATTAGTTTCTGCTATTGATATATTTTTTTTTGAAAACAAATCTACAGATGTACTTTGGAAATGATCCGTAATATGCAGTACTCCTAAGTGTTGAATTTGCTTAGCTGAAACTTTGCAAAATGTGCAAAACACATAACCCACTCATTTTACAAAAGCGAGGAAATAGTTTTTTAAAAACTCACGTTTTACGAGGTTCTAATAAAATGAGGATTAAACTTGTTTTATAATGTGCTTATGAGTTCCTGTTATAAAGTTGTAGATTACAGTATGGGATGCATCGTCTACGGAGGATTACACTCATTAGTAGTGATCAGAGCTTCGACCCACACGATTTGAAGGGAAAGGTTTTATTTCTGCTCGGATGGGGTATAATACATATTGCAATCTCAAAACTTCAGATTACAGCCTAACACTTCAAGCATCCAAGTAAGTTTCATTACTTGAATTCTTCATCTGTTAAAGTTACGGAAAAACAACAACAAATATATATAAGTCATAAGATTAAAAAGAAATTGCAGTTTAATTTTTGCATACAGATTCCAGTTTATTAGCTGAAAGAGTTTTAAGCTAAGAACATATGATAGAATTTCAGGGGAGTAAGAATTAGTTCCTACAGAAATTAAAGATATAGAACATAAAAACCTTACATTTAAAATGAGCTGTTCTAAATGGCAGAGAAAATTTCTGTATTATTTTATCGTAACTTGACAACCATGTGGAGATTTGTGCACCGTTTTAATTAAGAAAAGACAATTATTCAACATATAGCTGGGAACTTACTCAATTGGATCATTTGCGTGAGATTGCAAGAAGAAAGCAAATTTTGTTCGGTTTATTATTACTACTATATCGTTACTGATGACATATTCCTGTATTTAAAACCCACAGCTCTTTAAAAAACGATAAGAAATCAAGCTAGAAACTCATAGTTAGCAAGAAAATTTTCTTTCATTTTTAAGTTCCTGCATCTTTCCACATATTTATTAAATTGCTTTACATATTTCCAGAGTATTTAATACAATGCCTCATGGCAGTAAATATATTTCCTTTTACAGAGTCCTTTAAGTCCAAAGTCCAATCTTCAGACTATTTCTTTGATTACGCTGTTGCTGACACGTAATCAAGCGTCTACTGTGTGTGAAGAGATGAGGTCTCTTCTCCATTATCAGCTGTCGACGGGTTGTTTATACAAGAAACTTGTCATTATCAGCTATCATAATGTATGTTGAACCTTATTTGTTTGAGGCAGTTTAAGTTACAGCTGATTTATTTTACGATCGCGAGTCCTTGATATTCTAACGCGTGAGAAAGTTGCTTCTAGGAATAAACTTCGAGGATTCATGCTTGCGTTTATCACAAGGGAAACTACCTTCGTATTTATAGTGATCTCACCAAAAACTTTTTCTTGCGGTCAACATGATATAAGTAAGCTAAGGTAACATTTGTTTTCTACCTGAGAATTCTCATTCCTTTCAAAATAATAATTAATGTAAATTAAACAAAATTTTCTTCATTAAAATCGAATTATATTCAGTTATAAAAAGGCAGTTTTTCTATAAACATCAGTAAGAAAGCATCATTCGAAACTGCGAACTAAAATTCTTAGCGATCAGTTACTATTTCTACAAAAGAAATTTAATTACATTAAGTACAGGCACATTAAAAGCAGTAAAAGATTATCATCACATATAACATTACCTCATTAAAAATGCTTTATATTTAAAAAGAAAGTATGTCTAATTCCTTTGGGAAACAGTTGTATACTTTTAACATAAAAAACATTTAATATATATAAATAATGTATAAAAACTAAGCATAAAGACCACTAAAATGTGGTCTCATCAGTAATGCAATTGAATTTATCAAAGAAATAGAAGTATAAGTGAACAACGTTCCGACTGAGCCGTATGTTTTGCACATTCTTAAATATAAAAATAATTTTAAGAAGAATTTAGTGGTCGAGACGTTGTTAGAAATGGGGAAATTTAAACTTTTAAATATTTTATAGCTATTTTTAAACCGTTACAGCAAATTAAAGAACATAGGCTTACCAAATTTCTGTATCTGTATCAATCTTACTTTTTAAGCAAGAAGAAAGAAGATGAGGACTTTGGCGAACGCCGTTTCCTCCAATCCGTGAGGACCAAATTTCCAACTGCTGTAAAACGTTGGCGAAAAGACTGTTACCAATTTTGACAGATAAAAATTACCTTACTGCTTGCTCACAAGACGCTGCAGACCTACAGATTCAAATATATTAAATTAAAATATATATATAAAAAAAAATAAAATTCCCATTAGGAAAATAATATTCTTTATACTTCGCGGGCGTACACATAAAGCTCCTCACATCGACATAACGACTTCGCAAACTGAGGCTTGGTTGCTGCATTTCCTAAACAACAAAATGCATGAAGAGATTATGAGTACATTATTGCAGAAATTTAATGCTAACTTATTTTATTGTCATAATATATTTTATTGTCATAAAATAAGGTAGCATGTGAAAGGTATAATTTTCTAAATTAATTTTATGGCTCCAGAGTTTTTGAACACTAAGAAAAGGTTTGAAAAGGATGGTAGAATTTTTTTTTTTTTTTAAATGTAATAGATGTTCCGTATAACAAATTTAAATATAAAATTTAGAGTGTTATTGTTTATTTTGGCACTGAGTTTAGAAAGGAATCGATTTTTATATTCAGTTATAAAAATTAAAAAAGAAATTGCATAATTAGAATTAAACATAATTAGAACTTTTGCCCTCACTCTTTTTTCCTTTTTTTATTTAAAGATAGAGGATAAATAAGTTCCCCTGTATTTGTAATTTATCAGTATCTACGTCTAATAAAAGACCATCAATGTACAAGTTGTAAATTACAAAGATTCTTCGTATTTAGTCTAAAACTAATATTCGTAGAAGAGAAAACAAAATTAAAAGTCACAGAAGCTAAACTGAAAGTATTTGTCAAAATATTAAACAATTATCCAATATGCATATTAGAAAAGGTATTATATAAATGAAAAGTTTGAAATGAAGAAATTTCAGTAGTGACAGATTTTGAACTAAAGAAATTCTTACAAAATCAAAAGATACCAGACCCATTATAAAACCAACAGTTTCAATCAAATACTCGAGGACACCTCACCGATGGAAATAAGTTTCAGCTAAATGCATTGAAATTTAACAGGAGATTTATAAAATCTTGGTGGACCCCCCCCCCCAAAAAAAAAATGTCTTTAGAAATGGATTATTTGATTACGGCAAAGTACACTAGAGTTTAATGGAAATGATACCTTTGTGAAGAAAAGCCTTTCTAAGAAAAACTGGTTCGTATTTAAGTTACAAACGAAAAAAGCCGCGAAAACACTCATGCTTTTTTCATCGGGAGCTGAATCCTGGTTGAACTACCAGTGTTCTGATCCCCTTGGTCACTGGTGGGGGTATTGCCTTTATGATTATATGAAACAGAAACTTAGATTTATCTAGGAAATTATAGTTTCTTTTTAATGAAAATATTTAAGACAGAAGAATGCAGTTTGTACGTATGGTTATTTTGTAGCTCATTAAGTTTAGAGGTAAAAAGTGCTGATTAGAGTTGAGCAAATTCCTTTGATATAAATATAAAAATAGCTGTTTTCCAGATTTCAGCACCGATATTTAGATTTTGTACTGAGAATTATTTTCTAGCTTCTCGAGGGAAGGAAATCTCAAACCTGGTCGCGGTAGTCTGGATGCTTCGTAATTCCCAGAAGTGAGCCGTCCATCAGAATAACAATTATACCAGCAACTTGCTAGCGGCGAAAACTTGTTATCCATGGGAAACGGGGAAGAAAACTATGCTTTGTGATTGGCAGTTAAAGTCGCCATGACTCTGGCAACCCTCGAAGTTCTTACCCATGTGGTTGCTCATTGCTGTCACTGCTAAAGAAAGTGAAGACTGTATAAAACCAAGCAGTTGGCCTGCTGTGCGGTATATCTTATTTTATATGTGTGGTGCCACTCATGTGCATTGCCGTTTAGATAATTGGATGCTTTAAAATTACGTAAGTTTTCGTAATATTTTATACTAAATTTCGTCAATAAAAATATTATTTTGCGCATATAATTGTCTTATAATGTATAACGATAAAAACGACTTGTATGAAATATACTAGTGGTGTTAAGTGTTTATGAAAATTACCAGTTAGGCATAATATATAACAAATATATATAAAGATATAATTTATTCAGAAGGAAGTGTATTAATTTTAAATCACAGAGTTAGTCTCACTGTATGTTGTTTACTTTTGAAATTTGAAAGATTGATGACAGGCTTAGATTTGGCAATTTTTGCAAAGAAGGTAAATAACACTATTTTCCCAAAAGACTGGCAACAGTTTTGACAACTGGCAGCTTGCCAGGCCGGCGGATGATTGAAACTGCGGTAGCGCAATATAATACGAGAAATGAAAAGCACATGTTAAGTTTCTTCTACTATCAAAAATTAGCCTTACCAGTAGTAACAGAATTCATGAAATTAAATAGTTAACGTGCATTATGATCTGTTACTACAGATGCAAAGTTTATCTTACTTTAAATAGAATTTTATGAATTATAATTGCATACTGAAATAATTTCTTGTTTGCTGATAATTTTCAAAACATTTATATATACTTACATATCTATGCAAGTAAGCAAAAATATCAACTGAAGATGTAACACTGAAGCATTTTGAAAAGTGAAAATTGGAACACTGAAACATCTTGAAAAGTGAAAATTATTATTGCTTCTGATATCATTTCAAAATACGTCAAAACTAAGTTTGAGTTCGCATAAAATAATTTTTTAAATTTCACTGCTTGCCAGATTCAAAAACGGATATACAAATATTTTTCACAAGGTATTTTACGTAATTAAAAAGAAGTATTGAGAATTAGAGGGCAAGTTAGAATTTTAAATTTTTACTTAAAAATATCAATATTTTGTTTTTAAAATGTTAATTAAATTAAAATTTTTAACATGTACGTTTGTTATTTAGTGTTGTTAAGATGTTACAAGACGTTTATAGTTATTATAAGATGTTATAAGACGAACATGTATAAAATTTCTTGTTTAAAAGCAAAAACTTAAAAAAAATAACTTTTCCACACTCCCCTTAAATTACTCTTAATTTCATATTTGAGAGTGAGGATCTGATTTAATTATTTCATACGTATTATTAAATTAATCTGGATATAATGATTGCTAACTAAATATAGAGTGGGAAAAATTTATTGATTCGCATTGCTATAACTAGTTAATAAAGAAATCATTTAAAGAATTGAATTTTTGATAAAATATTAAATGAATTTATTGATGCATATTTAGTATTAAATAATTATTTTACTGTGAGTCTAATAATATCTGGAGTTTATATAGTGAAAACTGAAACATTTACACTTTTTGAAAGCTTACTAAGTTGATTGCATAAAAACAGCAGCTGGAATCAGTCTGTGTTTTTTCATATCTATATTTGCAAAACAGCTTAAAAGTAATTCCGTAGAAGTATCTCTCTGTCTTATTCTTAACAGTTTTGCAATTAGGGGGAAAAAAAAATATCATGATAACTTTATTCAGATTATCACTTTACTGCTTTAATATTTCTAGGTTCTTGCATATTTCCTGTTTTTTTTTTTTTTTAATTTCTAAGTTAAATATCAAGGATTAGTGTTAAATTTGCATTCATTGCCGTGCTAACAATTTTGCAATTTTTTCTTCTAGTAAAGGGCGACTTTAGAGAGAGCCTTGTGTTTAAACATAGTTTCAAGATAGGGTGCATTCGTGCTTTATATTCACACTTTTTAAATATATCAAAACTTAAATCTTTCACAAACTAAAATTTAAATATTTCAGAAGAGAACTAATCACATTAGAAAAGACAAGATATTTTTGCATTATACCGTGATATTTTTCAGGTTTCAAAATCATTGAGCAGTTCTTAAAAACTAAGCAATGACAATTAATTAATTACGCAATTTTATTTTTAAATTAATAGCTTAATTAAGGAGCTGTTGATAAAATATATTCACTTATAAATTGCAAACAACTATTAAAGAAATTATTGAGAATTTTTTATTTAAAAATTAATAATTTTGTATATCACATTAGTTGTTAACTGTTAAACTGTATTTATACAATTTAATTTTAACGTTTATTAAATTAGAACAAATTGGCTCATTTTGTAACGATTATTAAATTATAATCAATTAGCTCATTTTTTCACAATTTAGTTTCTCTATGCTTGCTATGCTAATTAGCTTTCGCAACTATGTTTTTCTCGCAAAAAGTAAGTTCCTTAATGAATTGATACAACTTTCATTTTCAGAAGTTTATATCCAACTAAAAAAAAAGAGAGAGAGAGAGAAAGAAAAGGGGGGGGAAGTCTCACGTAAAACAAGTTTCCGTTTCTTCCCATCTCTGAATGAAGGTGGATTAACGATGTAACAAAAATATGTGATAAATATCTTAGTAAAGGTGCAGGGGCGGGAATTCCAGAACGATCTATGTTTCTATCCATCTATGTTTATTCTCCTCTCCTGTTTTAACATATTATTTATATGTAATATTTATAAGATATTATGTTCCTTTGGCTCATTTCAAATTGAATTAATATAATAGGAACAACTACAGTCCTTTAAATCAATTCCTTAACAATTAAAAGAAATGAGCAAGAATTGTGTTGACATTATTGCATGAAATACCAATAAGTGAAATAATACAGCTAAATTATAAATCTAAAATAAAGGTGACGAAAGGCGTCTTCAGCCAAGTAGTATTGAAAAACACAGAGTTCGTATGTTAGCACTTAATCACCTTATTTTTTTTATATTATTAAATCTGTTTATCTATATTATTATACATACACACGCATAAAAAATAAAAAAAAATATGTAAACGATAAGTTATAATTTAAATTAGCAAAGTAAATTAACTTTTCCCGCCTTCTTAGCATGCCTTCGTAGTGTAATGGTCAGCACATTCGGCGCGTATTCGAGAGGTCCGAGGTTTGAGTCCCGCCAAAGGCATTGCTCATTTTTCAATATCTCCTGCTTCCAAAAAGTCCTGGTGTCTCTACAGTGGCGCCCGAACTGAAAAAGGTGGTGAATGATGATTCTTTACCACTAGGATTTGGCAGTTGGGTCCCCTAATCCCCAGTCGCACTTTAAAAGGGTATTTCTCCCGCCTTCTTAGCATGCCTTCGTGGTGTAATGG